CTATATCTTTTTGAATATATTTATTATGGTTATTTTAAGTTTTTATAAGTTTGGTTCATTCATTTTTGCTGCTTCTACTGAGATTGTTGAATTATTTTTCTTTCACAGCACTTGGGATCCTTAGATATTAATTATTTTTGCCTGTACTTACATGCATACTGCAACTGAACACGTGTACAGTTTAAAAACAAAAATGTTTAAAACTGTTTAATGCCTTTGGTTGGTATTATTTTGAGCTTCTACTTTCTTGGAAATAATTCTGTTAGGAATATTAACTGCCTGTCCCATACTTTCCTAGATAGAAAGGTAGGGGCCCAGGGACTCTTCTGATCAGTATAGGGAATACATGTCTTAGGATAGAGAATCTCTTATTAAAATCATTGCTTTATCATTCCTCATTTGCCCCTTCCATTCATATGTTCTATTTCATAGGGGACTTTTTTGTATTTTTGTTCTTTAACGCAAACTGTTTCTTTAGTTTTAATCGCTTAGGTCATTTGGGAGAAAGGGCAGTGGAAGAAAGTGGTCAGCCTCTTTGCCTGTACTTACATGCATACTACAACTGAACATGTGTACAGTTTAAAAACAAAAATGTTTAAAACTGTTTAATGCCTTTGGTTGGTATTAAATCATTTTCTGCTCTAGTAGTAAATACAGCATGGGCAGTGATCTGTCCACTATTACAAAGAGAAAAGAGCACAGAAAGATTCCTCCCAATTTCCCTCCCTAATCCCAGCCCCCTGACCTTTCCTCTATCTGTGGTACTATCTTTCTACTGTAAGGTTGCTCCCCACTCATCCATCATTAGGGATGGGTTTAGGGGAGGGTGTTAGTTAATAGTAAGTAACTTAGTTCCCAATTGCAAAAGAAATTGGTTACTTTCTTTTTTGGCTTGTGTTCTCTGCATGTAGAATGGCTGAGGTGGTGACTGCAAAGAGATTCCAGCACTGTTGGACAGTTTATTCATGTTAAGATCTTTGCCAACTGTGACATGCCCACAATTTAATGATCAAAAGTAGAACTATTAAGGTAACTCTCAAATACATAGATTGTCATTTACCCAGTAGAAAGCTACTTGTTTTTCCAGACTAGAAGAAAACCAGCTTTAAAGATTTATTTTTCTTTCAGGATCTATAAATAATGCTATCATTCAGTTTTTTAAAGTATGGATTAAAGATTTTTCATAAGCATTATCATTTGCTGTTTTCTTCTTAGTTTTAAGACATGCAGGTGTACCTAGTTAGGATATATTTAAAGCCAAGACACCCACAGCTCTACATTTAACTCTTAATTAAAATTGTGTGCATTAGAATCTTAAAATAAATTTCTTCCTACTGTTTAAAAAAAATAAGAGTTACATAAAACCTCAGAAAGGTTTTTTGAGAAGGATTAGGATTTTATTTTAGCATGTCGGAGGTACATGAAGATAAAATTTAATTAAAAGTTCAAGAAAATTTTTATCTGTCCAACTCTCCAGTGAGAGTAGAGCAATGAAGGCTTTTTATCCAGACCACAGAGTCACTTTAGTACATCTTCATTAACTTACAGTGACTTCAGAAGTCACGTTAGATTTAATATTGTGAAAACAGCAGCAGTGGAGCCAGAAAGAGCTTGGGAGAGGGAACAAATTTTTATATATATGTACATATGAATTCATATTTATGTATGTGTATGTATGTGATATATATGTATATGATATATACACAAAATTTAATTTTGGTCAAACATTTTAGTTTAATAGACTAACCTACCTTCATTGAGTATACATCTATGCACATAGTACCTTGCTAGGTTTATGATTATTTTCAGAGCAGGTTTTAGGTCTCACAAGCAATATTTACTGTTTTAGGGGAATTAGTAGAAAATAAGGCTAGAGAAAGTAAGCTAACATTTAATAAATTTCTGTCATGTGCCAGGAGCTGTTCCAAGTGCTTTGAAGTTAGACTCTTGTAATTGCTTCACATAAGCCTATGAAATGGTATTATTACCCCCATTTAGTGGATGAAAACACAGAAAGATAAGTAAGTTGGTCAGGGTCACACAGCTAGTAAGTGGCAGAACTGGGATACATTTTTTCTGCAGAGGCCAAACCTTAATCATTTACTTCACCTATGTTAGAATCAGATTAAACAGATTTCATAGTTTGGGATTGTTGTTTTTAAGGTAATGCCAAATGATTGAATTTTTTTTTTGAGCAGAGAAACAACCTGTTCAGAGTTGTGGCTTAGGGAAATTATCATAGCAGAATTATGGAATATTGGAGGGGCAACCAACTAAATATTAGAGATATCTGGAGTGTTTAGAAAAATCCAGGGCTCGGTCTGCAGCCTGTTCTATTGAATAAGATTCTCAGACGGTGAAACTGAGACATTAGTACTTTTTAAGGTCTCCTAGGTGATTTCAATGTGCAGCTAAGGTTGAGAACTATAGAAATAGAGGTGGTTAGCCCAGGGAACAAGTTAAAATGCAGTTGTGTTATCTAGGTAAAAGGCATTTAAAACCTGTAGGGTAGTAGTAGAAGAATAGAAAAAATGTCCCTTCTGGACCTTGCTTTTTTCCCTAGATGTCTTTGCTTTCCATGTTCGGGTCACTATATTTGTGTGCAGAGAGAACATTTTTTCACATTTATTATGTGCCCTGACCTTGTCTTGCTGTCTCCCACACTTTTTCATTTATACTCTCCATAATACTGTGAAATATATATTACTCTGTTTTAGAGGCTATTGAAGGGATGGATAATTTTCCTAAGATCATATAGCTAATCAGTGTGTCATGTTAGGATTTAAATACAGATACTCTAATTCTGTTATTCTTGTTATTGAAGATAAAGGCTAATGTGTTTGTTATAAAGCAATCTATGTCACACCTAGCCTTTTAAAGTATCCCTTTAAAGTTTTTCTACGCATTACCTAATGTAAACTTTGAAAAGTATGTAATATGTGATCTTTTATTTAACCAAAAGTTTTTTTCTCCTGTAATTTTGACTTTTCTATCTGGGGTGTATATTTTGGCATTTAGGTACCATGTAGTTGCTGAGACATGAAGAGCAGTTGCTAACTGTATTTTTATGTGTGGTAGATATTAAGAGTCATGGAGGTTGATGTTTTCGTAATATTATTAGCAGTCCTGTTTGTGCCGTGATACTGAACAACATAACATACTAATCAGAATAGAATAGAACTCTAGAAGGAAAGAGGTATTTGTGATGCAGTCTGTATGTTTTAATTCAGATCCTGGTCACGATTAAATATAGGATGTAGGCTGATGTTCTGTGTGCAGAATTGACCAAAATGAAATTCCAAGTAACATAAACTCTTATTTCAGCCTGAAAATCAAAATTATTTAAATAGGTCATAAGATTAAGCATCATACACTGAAATATTTATGTATGTGAGCTATCTCATATAACCAGTTGCCATACCTAACCTGGCATGATGGTAATGTGATAACATGGTTTCTGTTGTGCTGTTATTTCATAACCTTTCCAGTTAACTATGGATGGTTAGGTCAGATATAGAGAAGAATGTTAATGAGGTCAAAGTCCAAGGTCATAGATTTAATTTTTTCAGTAGATAATCAACTTTTTTTCTTATAACCACTTCATTAGAAGTCTCACCAGATTCATGACATTAGTTATAACTGACAGTTGACATGTTGATTGATTTTGACCTTTCCTTGCATGTGAAGACCTTGATGGAGGAGGTTGGTATGATCATGGCAAGAGACCACCAGTACTGGAAGAAATGTAACACATGCTCCATTACCGAAAACTAGTGGTGAATCTGTTAACAGTGTTTTCGATGAAGGACAGAATTATTTAAAAGAAAGGATAGGGGAATTCTTAACAATGAAATTTGGGCATTAGTAGTAGAAGATAATATGAATATTCTTTAAGCACAACTCAAGATGTTCTTGAGTTGTGCTTAAAGAATTTTCTATGTTTAATTGTTAGTATAACAGAATTTTAGGGCTGTAACATCTCATGAACTAATAAGAATACTAAATTTAAGATATTTATTTAAGTTTACCTAGGGAATATCATAGAGTTAGGCTTAGAGCTTATATTTCATGATTCTAGTCTATACTAGTTCTTTGTGTGTCTCTATATTAAGTGTGCAGAATGTTATGTTTTGGATGAGCAAGACTTGTTTTCTGCTAGAGGAGAATTTAAACTAATAAACGGAGGAGTTCCAGTGAACTACATATAAGAAATTCTTTGCAGATGACTCAAGCGAGGGTTTAGGTTTGAGTGATTGAAGGAAAGATCGTACCATTGAAAGAATTAGGCAAATTGGTGTGGAATCTAGTTTCAGAGGGAAGCTACTGAGTGCTGTTTTTGACCTAAAGATGTTTTCTGAAACAAACCTAAAACCCTTCCTTTGCTAACAGAATTTTAGGACCAAAAGTTGATTTGCAATAATGTCAAAACATATAGGTAGCAATGTTTTGAATGGAAGTTTTGGAATGAAGTTCAGTCTGAAGAAAAATCTCGGAAGTTGTCTAAATAAAGGTAATAAATAAACTGAGTAGGAATGGAATCTGCAGGAAAAGAGCAGGTACAGAAAAAAGAGCAAATAGTTGTGGGCTGAGTACTGATTATGGCCCCTTACTTATTGAATGAGAGGACAAAGTAGAGACGGGAAAATACTGAAGGGAAGCCAGAGCAGTGGAGTATTAGAAATCAGGGGAGGAGACGGCTTGTTTGGTGAAAGGCTGATAGAATTAAATTCATTCAGGGAGGATATGGACTGTGAAAAATCCCTAGAACATTCCAGAGAGGACTTCATAGGTTAGCAGATTGACTGGAATTTCCTGAAGCCTCAAGATTTTTTTAAATGATTTAGTTTCTGGTGTAAATTTACAATTGCACCTTTTTTTTTTTTGCTACTTCTTAAAAGATTAATGCACCACTTCATTTGATAAACTGTGGGTGCTCCTTAGATTCAGATTCAGGTATATGAGATTAAATCACTCCTGAGAAAATTTGTTTTTTTTTTTAGATCTTGCCATATTCAGAAGTTGCTGAAGTTCAAGAGACAGTGAGTAATATATGGTGCTATGTTTGAAATGTTAACATTTTAATATTTTTTCAAGATTTCAAGTTGGATTCTTAAAATGTGTGTTCACTGTATTTAATCATAGATGATTTTGTCATGAGAAGTAGCTAATATAGATTGAAAAGGTCAGTTTAAAAAAATATGTAGTTTCCCAAAATGTAAATAGATTTAATCTTTTTTTGATTACAAAAATAATACCAATGTGGCATATTTAAACAACACAAAAGATATAATGAATAAAATCCTGCTTTGTAAAGCTAATCACTGTTAATATTTTGGCGACATCTTTCCTAAGTGTGTTCATATGTGGCTATCTTACATATGAAATTTTATAAAAGCAGAGTCATACAAACTTTTAAAAAAGCTAATATAAAATGGATGTTTTTCAGTAAATAAAAACTTTAATGATTACATAACATTTCATTAGGTGAATATATTATTTAATACTCTTTTAAATAGATTACTATTTGAGATTATTATAAATGATGTGATACATATCAGTGGCCACATCTTATAGAACATTTTGGATGATCACCTTAGTATACATTCCTAGAAGTACAATCAAAAGTGGGATCAAACATGTGATTTGGTTATTTTTAAATAACTGCCTGGCTGGCCAGATTATTTTCTCTCTCTAACACTGATAAACTCTAGTTCCCAGAAAAATATTCCCTTAAAATCTCTCCTGTAAAACACAAAACTAAAATGGGCATGTGTGTATTTTGCAGACAATTACAGAAATATGAAAAAGTCGTTTAAATGTAGAGTGATAACTCCTGTTGAAAGAACAAACAGATCTCAGCTGCATTATATATCCTTTCCTGGAGTTTCTTACTCCAAGGGTCAAAGATAATACTAAATAGAGCACTCTTGAGATGTTGTATATAATCTTGCTTCTGAATTGTGGCTTCTGACAGCCAACTGCAGCAGGATTGCTTCTACAAGTACAATTGATCTTTACTGGGGGAAGAGGTACCACCTATTTGAAACTTTATTTTTAGATTGTACTCGTATTAGTGCTTGATAAACTCTTTGTTTTTGCTTAAGGTCAAAAGATGACAAGTCAAATTAGTATGTTAAGAGGGAGGTGCCATGCTAAAGGCAATAGGATCAAGCTACTGTATAGATCTCATGGGATTGTTTCTGTATTCTCGGGTGGCTGTCTGTCCTGGATTGCTTAGGACTGAGGGGTTTCCCAGGACAAAGGGTGTGATTATACACTTTTACATACTCCTTTATATTTCTTAAAGATTACAAGTCTTATGCTAATTATACATGGCATGGCAAGTATTTAGAAGTACATTAAAATAAAACCACATATTTTTGGCATAAGGTTCTTTTTCTGAGAATTGTAGACTAAAATCAGTCTTATAAGATTTAGATAATGGCAGTATTTCATGCTTTTAATTAAAGTACATTGATAGTATACTAGAATGTTACTATTATTTTACTATTTGCAGCTCATACCTTCAGCCAAAATAGAGAATTTGTTTATGTGATAAATTATTGAGATGACTGTGTGGACATTGCCTAAGGGATAACGGTAAACATGATAAATTACTCAAATAGTGAAAATGTGTCTGTAATATCTTAATGTTTTTTTTCCGAATAAGCTTAGAAGTTTCTGGATTCTTTGAGATTCTAGTTGTATTTTGGCTCTCTAATAAAAGCCAAGAAGAGTGGCTAGCTTTTTTCTTTCTTTCTTTTTTAAATATGTTACAACATACTTGCGTGGAGTGTTTCCACATTAATTATTTCATATTGTCTGTATTCATGTGTTATATAACAAGAAACTGCACAAATTAGACTCAGGTTCTAAAGTGTTAAGAATAAGAAGTTAATAGTGTTCTGTTTAACCATGTGCATAAGACTTCAGTGATGTAAGTTACTTGGTAAAATTAATATGTAATCGTCAATTACTTATATCCCATTTCTCATTAATATAACTTGCAAGCAAGTTATATTAATGGGAGGATGATTTCACTTGTATCTTAATATAGTGCCTTTATAGTATCCACATCCTTCTGGGAAAGGTTTCTGCAGCCACGCTTATTTTTCATTGTGTTTCTGCTTTTTTTTGGAGAGTTTCAGCTTGATTCTTGGTTCTGTTCTTTCATTATATGATTTATGGTGCCCATTCTTTTATCCTGTGTCATTTTTTCAATCTACTGTGATTAAGCCATTAGGTTATATATCTTAACTCTCACACATTATCATAATTTATACTATTTCTTACCAGCCTGAATCTTTCTCTATACAGATGTATTTGTCCAAGTGCCTACTTGACATTTTGACTTGGTTTTCTAACAGATGTTTCAAACTTCACCTGTCCCAAACTGAGCTTCTTACATTTCTTCCTATAAATTAGCTCTTCTTATTGTTTTTTGCATCTCAGATAATGGCAATTCCATCCTTTCAGGTGCTCAGACCTCAATACGTGACATCATTTTGATTCTTCTATCTTTCTTTTACCTCGTACTTGGTCCATTTAGAAATCCTTTTGGCTCTATCTTAAAAATATATTCAGAACTCAGCTATTTCTCATCACTCTCACTGCTACCACCTTGATTCAGGTCTCCTTCATCTCCTCCCTAGTTTATTGCGCTAACTTTTAACTGATTATACCCTTGTCCCTCTAATTTAGTCTCAACATAGCAGCCAGAGCAAACCTTTTAAAACAGATTACATCACTCTTTTTCTTAGAATGAGCCAGTGGTCCCCATCTCATTCAGAATAAAACTGAAGCCCTGACTAGGTCCTATAAAGTTTTACACAATCTGGCAGCCATTTTCTTTGACTTCATCTCTTACTCCTCTCCTACTTGCATTGTGTTTCAGCCTCTTTGGCCTTTTACCTATTTTCCGAGCACTCAAAAAACTTTCTCCCATACCACTCC